TATAAGTTTGTAATGCCATGTGACATTGTAAATAATGTAACATTTTTCATAAAATATAAAGGACTAAATTAGAGTGATTAGAAGTATAGGGGCTTAATTGTATCTTAAAAAAGAGTAGAAGAGCTCATTTAGGTATTCTAAATTTCTAAATTGGGGTCGGGTGCCGTGCGTTTCCTTCTGAGGATCCCGCGAACTCCCCTCGCCCGTCATCCCCGCCGGAATCACTGAAGGTGATCATCGCCGATTCAGAAAATATCGGTTACTTTCAGTAAAGCTTTCATCATTTCGTTTCAAAAAGGTGTACTTGTCTACACGGCTCCCCGCTGTTTCCCCTCCCTCTTGTTTCCTTCTCTCTCCCGAGTCCCGAAAGCTTGGGGATTTCGACATTTTAGTAGAGCTTTTGAGGTGTGAGAACTTTGAAGTGCGCTTCTGAGAAATAAAAAATGATGATTCTTTCGGCCTTTTAACTTCGGTCAGTATCAATTTCGATCTCTGTTTCCTCTTATTCAGACTCAGAGTAAAGGGAATACTGTTTCTGAAAATTTTGTTGCAGGTGTTATATTTTCACTCTTTATGCAGCTTGAGAATGTTTACCTTACCTGGTATAATTGGGATCCTTCTTTGTTCTTCTCCCAGTTTCTTATTTGGGAAACCAACTTCCTGTTGATTAAGATTTCTTACATTCGCCAAGCAAATCTCTGGACACCTCCAGCATTTCAAATGTCAGACAATTGGTTCAAACTGTTAATAGCCATCCCACCATATGAATATTTCAGTTTTAGCTGCTGCTTCATCCCTGTGATACAGGTCAGCTGGGTGGACTGTCATTACTTGGCTGTTCATATTTTCTGTGTTGGTTTATAGCTCTTTTTCTATCTGTTACTTAAATTTTGCATTCATAAAATAAAAGTGTTTCTTACCATTTCTAATCTTGTATAGTTAGTTTTTATTGCAGTCTTTGCAGATGGCCTCATGGTTCAGACCTCATACTAACTTATAATGGAGAAATCTTCACATTCCTTTGCATACTTCTATGTGATTTTCCTAACCTGACAACACATTGATTCCCCCTATTTGTCTGCGTGGAAAATGAGCACGGCATTAGTTTTCAAAAATGCAGCCTTGATCTGATTATATTGGAATAGCTTCTGTACAAGTATCAATAGTTGTAAAGTGGCAAGAAAACATTCTTGGATGGTTTAAATGGTTTGGACTATGGGCAGTTTTCTAAAAAAGTTTCACTTCCTTTGGAATCTTATTTTTCACTACACGCTAAAGATCAAGAAATATAATAAGTTAAGACAAACTGCACCACTTCATCTCCTATGATATTTTCGGTTATTTATGATATTTGTAATAGTAATTTGAAATTATTCAAATGGTTAAAAGAAAATTTTTAGCTGAGCTTCGGCAAGAAAGTGAACATGGATTTTGTATGGAATTTTAAGGAACTGTAATTAAGTTTTGCATGTTATTTCAATTGGCTGCTTCTCCTAGCTATTGTCAGATAGAGAAGAACATTATGATTTTGCCATTTTGGTGTGAGCAAAGCAAGACATAACTGTGCGTTGTGGGTCATTTACATGGGACATTGGAGGCCTAATGAGCTCTGCCCCTAATTGGAGTTAAACTATGCATAGAGAATGTGTTCTTGCTTACTGACTTATCAGGTTTCAGACACTACCTGTTAAAATTTTCATCTGTGATTATGTTCTCTGTTCCAGTTGTCTTGGTTTGCTTTCATTATTTCTATGCATGTCTAGGAATCACCTAAATAACCGAAATATTGTGTGTTATGAAGTGTTTTGTTAAGAAAGATAGAGAAGACCAGAATGACCCTACCACATCCAAGTTCCTTGAAACTTTACTCACTGTATATCATGATCCAGATTTGATGCCAATCCAATATTCCCTGGTGCTCTAGCTGCTGAAGTTTGAAGTTGCCATATCTAGTTCCAATGTTCCAGGTTTACTAGCTGGTAAAGTATTCTTCTAATGGAATTTGGAAATTGATAAGTAGCCATATCTAGTTCTAGTAGTCTTCTAATTCTGTAGATGGTCTGTGATGCTAACGAAAGGAAATCCCTTCTGTTCATATACTAGATAAAGCCTTTCAAAAATGAGGTTGCTTCTCCATATTCCATAATATAGTTTTTGCTTGTGTTGTGTACCTGTACAGCTAGACATCAGGCCATGTTGATTCTTTTTTTCTTTTTTATCTCTTTTCTACCTCCAAGAAATCTCTAAATTTGGCTTGGTTCCATATCTTTTGCAGAAGATTTTCATTCTCTAGAATTTTAGATTCTGAAATTCCAATAAACATAAACCATCTTTGACAATCTTACAGATCCCCACATCAATTTCAATATTCTAAAAGCCCATATTAATTTATTTAAGTTCAATTTTGTTTATTTATATTTGCTATTATATGTTAGAATATTTTTACACCATATGAAGATAAAAGAATTTGAATTTGTAACCTTTCAGGATCTTGGTCCCTCTGTCTGCTATTGGACCAACAGATCAGTGTAGATATCCTCTGAAAAATGTGAGTTGTTAGTTATCTGTCAATATCCATCCTGTTGTATTCCCCAATTGTAGCAATCTCATTCTGTTTATCTATTTCGTCTATGGCATTGACTTTACTGTTAGTTTATAGCCAGATTGAAGTAGCGGTGAACAAATGGCATATACCTAGGTTTCCATACAGCATATCTGATGGCTGCTACATCAGTAATTCTACTGCAAATGCTTCTGATTACTTGACAACTTGACAACAAGTCTCGAGTCATGTTTAACAGAGAAGGAAGATTCTAGTGGGAGAGATTTGGGGTTGGATTATTTCAGTTTCTGTGATGCTGCTCAATCTTCCAGGTGTGAAGACATTGTTGAAGAAGGACCTGATATGGAAGCACTGGATTTTCATTTTGTGGATGATATTGGATCATCCAGTTACTACTCTCCCTTTGAGATGGCTGAAGAGATTGAAGAGCCAGTGGAGTCAGAATTTATCGGACGAGACCTCAATGTTAAGAGCTGCCATGAAGAGAATGAAGTATGAGAGGAAGTATATGATTTTGCAAAATAAAAATTGCTGGTAATAAGTTTCAAAAACAACGTTGGGTATCATCCTATTTAAAAATCACCTCGCTGTGTAGAAGTATAAGTACAAATTATATGAACCATCAAAGAAAGCATATATAGGATACATAGTAACAAATAAACATCAAAACCATAAAAGAAAAGAAGAAAGAAATATTTTTCTGGTATTTGAAGTACAGAGACAACCGAATTATTGATTAAAAAAAACTAATCAAAGCAATACATTCAAATTTCAAACAATATTCATATCACATATTTGGTAGAAACAAATAAGTTATAGTCCAACAACATCACCCAGCAGCTAGAAGATCAAACTAAACTTAAAAATTAGTTGAAAACAAAATTAAGTGCAAATGAGATATCTCATTTTCGTCTACCTTCATAAGAGACATAATATCATACGAACAATACCAGTGTCAGTTCTTTAGTCTGTATGTAGAAGATACCAAATCCTAAAATTTTTACTCCGGTAGCAGTCCCAATGGAATATGTAGGTGCAATCTAGCTCTGTGCATTGAATGGATAGGTCATCTCTACAAGGCTTACCACAATCGTTGCATTTAGGAGGGTAAAAATCTATCTTCACCAAAGTGACAGGGTGTTCGTGAACATCAATCCGGAATGGTTTCCCGAGCTTGACAAATGGGGATTTCCAAAGCACACAATTAGGATGAGCAGAAACATCGCAATCAGCACAATAACATTGACTTAGATCATGATCATCACGATAGGTAAGCTTGAGAGCATGCTTGTCATATTTGTACCGAGCTGTTTTTGGTAGCACGAGGCATCTATAATCCAACGCAAAATTGCATTTCTTGTCCTTGCATCTAAAACTGTTTCGATCAAAATCATCATCACAACCATAACATTTCCCTTCGTATTTGTGGTCAAAGAAAAGGAAGTGCTCCTGTCCTTCTATACTTACAATACGAGTGTCGAGAATTTCATGACACCGAATGCACATAAGCTTGTTGCATGCATTACGATTGTAGCCAAATTAACCCACTAATCCAAAACCAGCAATAGTCACAATTAAAAATGGAATAGAAAAAGAGTTCTCTTAAATGCATGCAAGTCCAGTGACGCACCTTCTTGGGTAACTCATGAACACAGCACTTACAGAGAAAGAAATTACATTGTGCACAATAGTGAAATGAAGTAGAAATGGAACGCATGCAACCTTCACAACTTTGGCCATCCTCAACCCCATCATCACTCAATATTAAGTTGTGTTTATGGCTGAAATGCTTTATCTCTCCAGGTTTGATTTCCTGAAAAGCAGGAGAGATACCAGTCAAGTCATCTGATAGTTTGGACTCTTCATCTTCCAAAAGATCTTTATCAATTGCACAATTTACATGAGCAAAATAGTTGCAATCTGCACAGCAGTAGCTCCCATATCCCAGATTTATGTCATCATGACAAATATTGCATTCACGTTTTCCAGCTTCCTCCTCATCTTGAAAGAAATAGATGTGAGAAAGTCGATGTGGATGCCTTATTATTTTGATGGTGCGGCGAAGTGAAGTGCAATCTGTGTGAATAATAAGGCTGCAGTCACCACATGTAAAGCAAACATGACTTCCATCCGTTCCACATGCGTTACAGACGAACAAAATTGTGCCTGAAATAGGGTTCAACGGATGTTCATGAATTTCAGCTGTAATTGTTTGCAAAAAAGCATCCGCAGCTTTGAAATCAAGCTTACAAACAGAACAATAATAAACAAATCCCTCATAAGACTTGGTGCACAAATAACAAGAACATTTCTCTTGATGTGGTGGGGGTTTGGCCAAAAGCTTTAGAGGGTGTTTCCGGTGGGCAGAGCAATTGATCTTAAGAGGCAACTCTGCACATTTCTTGTGAAGGTAAAATATGCAATTGGGACAACAGTAGAATGGACTTGACTTGTACATGGGTTCCCTACATCCTGGACAGACTTTAAGTTTGCCTTGAAATTCAATATCTTCAACAAGTATCAATGGATGATGGTGGCTAAAATGTTGAAGCTTTTGAAACTCTTGAGCAACACATTGAGGATGTATAGCACATCTAAGGTCAAGGTCAAGATCACAAGAATTGCATCGATAAAAAAATCTAATTCTTTTCCTGCAAACATTACAGTTATTGTGAACATAATCTTCCAAATGAAGAGTGAGAGGGTGCTTGGAGTGGAGGGGGTGATTAATGATCTCCGTTTGTAGCTCAGCACATTTCTTATGAAGGAAAAACCCACACTCATCACAACCGTAGCTGGAACCCTCTAATTCTTCCTCGCATCCAGAACAATAACCCTCTGCTACTTTCTCGCAATTTTCACAATAACCCCCTACTGCTTTTTTGCATCCAGAACAAAAACCTTTTCGACTTCCATGATCACCGGGCTCTTGATCCACAAGCACCAAAGGATGTTGATGGCTGAAATGACCGATCCTCTCCATGACTTCCTCTGAACCAACTCTGAAGAGGGAGGGAGGGAGTGAGGGTAAACTAGACAAGTAGATAGCAACAAAATGAGAGGATTTATGGCTGATTGTAATGAGCAGCAGGAAAAATGAATAATGATTAGCCCCCAAATTATTTTAAGCTTTACGTTGATCAGGCCTATGCATGTCGGCCATTTTCACTTACCTCCAAAATTTGAATAATTATTACTTTATCGATGTTGCAGGTGGGCTGTGAGGCCCATTACATACTTCACGCACCCATAACGTGATTGAGATTCTGAAGACCCAACAGGTCCAATCTAACGCCACGCCAGCAGGTGAATTAGAATTAGAGCATGTTTGGTCTAATTTGTTAGAGGTTTTATTTTTTTTATATTATTTATAAATAGTAAATTTAAATTTTTATTAAAAATATTTAAAAATTATTTTTAAAGATAAAAAATAAATAAAAAATAAGTAAAAAAATTTTATAACAAGTTTAAATTTGAAATTTTTGATATTTTA